GGCTTGTCTGACTTTCCAACCACTACTATACTGTTTACTTTGAAACTCATGTGTTATCAAATACATGTATTTTCTTTCTGTTATAAATATTTCACTGGAAATAACTACTGACATTACCTCAGTTCGGCGTCTGTGCCAAATTACAAATCAATAGCAGTCATATTTACAGAGCAATGGTGATGATATACAAACAAACAAACACACAGTATTTTGTACAATATGACAAACCAGGATGAGGTTGGTTTTGATTTCTATAAACATCATCATCTGCTTCTTCCTTATCCCATTTATTTGTGGTCGTCGTAATGTTTTTCTCTTCCATACATCCATGTTCGCAGTCATCTTATTTACTTCCTTTCTTACCATATCATCTTTCACACAGTCCATCCATCTCTATTTCGGCCTTCCTCTACCCATATGACCATTCACATTCATATGTAACACCTTCATCAAAATATTACCTTCATTCCTACGCATTACAGGCCCATATCACAACAGATTTCAATAAAATCAACATAACAATATTATCTCAGGACAATCCACACAGCACCATCTAGTCCCAACCAAAGCAAAACTTGTGTTATGGGTACTAGACAACTGATATAAATAGTTAGATATATATTTTTGTAAATGAATACATAATATAAATAGATAGGGGGGAAAGGGATCGTTAGGAATGTGAACTCTCGACCCCATTGCTAGCAATGTACCATGTCAGGTTGACCTCCAACATCATGATAAATTCTTAGTGAATTTGTCATGAGCTCATCTTATCATCCTCCACTGGTGCCCCGCCAGCGTAAACCATTAGCGCAAGCGGATGCACCATTCCATTATCATCCATAAAAAAAAAAATATAAATAGATAGGGGGGATAGGAATTTGTCACGATGGATGATAATGGATCATCCTCCACTGGTGCCCCGCCAGCGTAAACCGTTAGCGCAGGTGGGTACACCATTCCATTATCATCCATAAAAATATATATATATAAATAGATAACACCTAGACAAATACAAACAGTCATACTTATAAATACAAAAGTTTTTATTGTGTGAGGAATCAAATCCGCTACCATTGGAGGTAAGATGATGTCCTAAACTGCTAAACCATAGGACCGTAATAAATGTTTGGAAATAAATGGCAGCTCCATTTTTTACTGACTATCTGATGACTATCTGAACCTTTAGTCATATATTTAATATTAACACTATAACTAGTCTGTGTTTTTTTATTAGAATGAGTAGAATAACTCATATCCTATTTTAGATACAATGTACATTTAATACAATGTTTATACCCCTATTTCACTCAAGTTTTCATGTAAAATTTGCCCATAACCAACTCTACAATCCTATGTCTTTCCCTCTCTAATACTATATACTAAAATATAACTTATTCAGCCATTCAGCAGTGAATGCATAACATAAATTATTAATTTATTTTATGATCATCAGTAATGAACAAAAACTAATTTAAAAAAAAAAAATTATCCATTTAAAACAAAAAAAATTAGTGCAGGATATAGAAGCATTTAGTGAGATAAATAACCTAGGACCAACCATGTAGTCTCTAATTAAACAGAGCTTGTATTATGAGTACTTGGCAATAGAAATGTATGTTTTTTTTTGTAAATAGATACATAACTGCAAATACTCAGATCTGACACAAATAATTAGACTCATCAATATAAGTGTTTCTATTGTGCGGGAATTGAACCCTGTACGATATTCAGATAAAATAAGTATTTATTTTAATGATACGATATATAAAAGATGAAAATCTCTTTAATAAAATGAAAATCCCGCAAAACTCGCTATAATAAATGAAATAAACACGGATTAATAACAAAACTAATGAAGGAAGCGCAAAATATGATATAATTCGTAAATTCTTTTTAGACTGAATTAGCGTCAATTAGTTTCTATTTAGAAAATGATTCTAATAATCCCAAAAGCCGAAAAATCACAAAATAAAATAACTCTACATTAGCGTTAGAACGGGACACACATAGTTAACCGAACCATTAAGAAACACTACGACACTATGCGGTAACTAGATATTGCGTCACTTCTTATCGCGGTCGGATTATAAAATCCCGAGACAGTTATATATCCATACTAACCCACCCACTTACAATCGATTTTCAACAATCTACAAGCCAAATTCTAACAATAAAACCATCTGTTTAACTCATGTAATACACGATAATCTCTTTCAGGGCACACTCATGTGAAAAACATGGCTGGAAAATTTAAAAACTCACCGTGAAAAATTTTAAATGTCGCCTCCACTGACAGAGAATAAATTTAGATACGCTCAAAACTCACAGAAAAAACACACAACTAGTGAACTGTTACACTTTATATAATTGTTAAATGTTACAGAAGGCAAAAACGACGTCACACACCGCATAGCGCCACATATTTTCTATGTTTTCCCGACGTTTTTAGCGGAGTTCCAACATCGATCGCGGAGCCATGACAGGTATATTTTCTACTGTGTGAAGTGAGCGCTGCTCGCTCAGCTGACGGACAAGTTTTTTTTCGGATTGGCGCATTGAAGTTGTTGCGGATTGCAGCGCCGAGTTCATTGACCTTTTCTTAGAAAATTAAAAATATATTGTCTATGTACCAACGTACTTTAAAATAAATAAATACCTTTTTAATTTTACAAATGACGGAATAGACTGTTTTAGTTAAATTTTAATAACTTAACTTTATGCATGACCTATATAATTAAGTAGGTGAGTACCTATTTAAAAATGTAAAGTGCGAGTCGATCTCGCTTAACAAACTTTTCCAAAGTTCCACTGTCATCTAGAGTTGGATACTTGAGCAGTTATATGGCACTTTTAACTTCTCAAGCAACGTCTTTAAGGAGCGAGGTCAACTTCACACGTCACTTCTGCAGATTTACCAACCTACTGAACGTAGATCCTATCTATATACAGTACGCAGGCATCCGCTAAGAAAGGATTTTGATTAATTCTACCCCCAAGGGCATAAAATAGGGGATGAAAGTTTGTATGAAACTTTGTCAATTTTAAATCGATCGGGCTAAGACTTTACATGCATAAAGCTACTATGATATAGGCATCCCCTAAGAAAGGATTTTGATAACATCCACCCCTAAGGGGATAAATTAACGCGAGCGAAGCCGCAGGTATAAGCTAGTTAATTAATATAATACATATGATATGCAGGCCCCTCTTCCGCACTGGGCACACTGGGCACGAGCCCAGGGTCCCGTGATCGTGGCCCCCTAGTCTAGTCTAGTCTCTACACCATTACCAAACGATAACCGATAGCTACTCTACTCTCGCCTGGAAATCAGTCTTAACAAATGCTTACCGACTATGGACAACTTATAAATGTCTAGTAAGAACTTGGGCCCCTCAAAACATTACGACTTTTTAAAATTTTTTTTTTCTGGTTTGTTTTGAAGGTGGGGATACCTTCAAAACAAACCAGAAAAAAAATAATGTACATATCTAAAGAGTTATGTTCAAAAATGACTTTGTCTGTTTTAACAAAATATTGCTTTATTACTATGGTCTTTATTTCTTTTTTTTTTTTGTAAATACAATTTTCCACAGACATATTCGTCCGTGCCTTTTTTAATTTACTTTAATATTTTTTAATTTACTATAATATAATTTCTTTAATTTCCACTTTTGTACAACTCCAGCCGAGATGTTACAATTTGTCTAACAGTGGCACCGAGGCAGACCTTATCCGTCTGGCCCAGAAACACCGCTGGCCGCCGGCCGGGTGAGTTGACAACATGCAGTGTCACCTATCTTTATTAGGAGCCAGTTACATTTACCAATATGCAAATACAATTATATAAATCTTACACCACTACTAATTTCACAGTTTTCATTACATTGTGTTGTATTGTTACATTATGAATTCTTACATTGCATACACAATTATATGAAATCTTATTTTAACACTATTTTCAAAGTTCACTATTTGTTATAGTCCAGGTTTTGTTTAATTTCACAGTTCACTTTTTGTCGTAATTCCGGAATTTTTTTTTCTTTTTTTTTTCTTTCCATTTTTTATTATACTTTTAGCGAGTATGTTCCAGCCTTTCCAGTCCAAAGCGCCATTATCCTAATGTGCCCTGGGTCTCTAATAAGTGAAAGACGGCCCTGATGTGATGTATAAGTTCAAGAAAATAAAGCTATGCTAGCCCAGTTATAATTCGAAGGTTGTCACTAATAATGTGGGCATCCTTGACCTATCTTAGCACCAATGCGCTATGATAAAGGCTAACTTTTTTATTCACAACCTTGGTAACATTCTTTTATAGCCTTCCACTTTTCACTAGCGTTTCACCCTGGATTCGGACGACCGTATTTACATTATTGCAGATATCACTAACAATAATATACTGTATTATTTGTAGATGCGTATTTTTAGAAGTAGGTTAAGTATTTTTAAGTTTATTTATTACAAACTAAGAAAAAAATAAAAAAAATCTACCACTTATATGCTCGCACGGTGCAAACATTTGTATTCATGATGTATACATATCTGTTTTTATCGGTCTATGTATATTATATATGCATTTATAAAAAAAATCTACTGTTATCAGTTGCTTAGTACCCATAACACAAGCTTTGCTTACCGTGGCACTAGATGGCGCTGTGTTAATTGTCCAGGGTTATTTATTTATCAACATGACAATTTTAATTGTTCGGACTATATCGGACTACTCTAATGCTGTCGGCCGCAGCTGGCCTTTACAGCTTCATCGGACGTTATGGGGCGAGTGCAGATGGCACTCCAAACCCGCGGAAGGACTTATGGAGCGGCTGAAGGCCAACTCTTGCCTGCCGGATACGACTTTGGAATTGGGGTTTGAACCTCGGCTCAGGCCTTCGTAATTTCGATCCCCGTATGAATTGGATGGGGGATGGATCGGGGTTATTTTAATTGTATTAAAATTAATGCTGGTTTTTTTTCTCTTCCTTAATAATTAGTTACTTACCATGGTATGGCGTGAGTCCAGTCGAGCTGGACTCGCCTCGGTGCCACCAACGACATCTCCCCACTCTTTCTATCAGCCACAACTGTATAGCACTTTCTCTGTCTAGCTCTTTGCTAGCTCACATCCATTTATTTCGATATTCGTTATTGAAATAATTTTACGTCACAAGCTTCCCATTTATTCCGTTTTTAATTTAATAATCTATGTGCTGATTTAATAGATTTTGAGTCAACGATACGACCTGAAACAAAGTAAAAATACGTTAGAATAATATATCGCAGTCCCTTCCGATCGAGCCCCCGTCCAATTCAAACGGGGATCGAAATTACGACGGCCTGAGCCGAGGTTCGAACCTCTAGTGGTGCCCTCAGACTAAAGTCGTATCTGTCAGGCGGGAGTTGGCCTTCAGCCGCTCCATAAGTCCTTCCACGGGTTTGGAGTGCCATCTGCACTCGCCCCCTAACGTCCGGTGAAGCTGTAAAGGCCAGCTGCGGCCAACAGCATTAGAGTAGTCCGAAAAAAAAGGGTAAATAGAAAAATGGCAATATTCAAAATATACATTTTTGTCTTATCTAATGCCCATAACACAAGCTATAGATAGCTTAACTTGGTTCTAGATGGCGTTGTGTGAATTGTCCTGAGATTATTATAATTATTATTTACTCTGCATTTTCTCAGCATTTGCTGGTTTTTTCCACACTTACGGGCCGAAACCAAGTATGTGCAGTGGGTGTGTGTGTGTGAGTGAGTACGTACTTATTGTGTAACTGGTGTGAGTAGTGTTATATCCTTTTCATCTATTTCGAGAAAATTCCGGACAGTTATTATTATTATTATTATCTAATGTTACTATTCCATGCAGACCAAGTCGCGGGTACAGCTAGTAATATATATAAACTACACCATCAATGTTACCATAGCACATGTGTACTGTAGTATGTTCCTTTTGTTAAATAGTCTTTGTAATTATTTCTGTGGGACGTAGGCGTTCACCTGCGGCCCAACCGACACAAATATCTTGCATCTGTCCCAAATATTTATTCTGTGGCCCAGATTAGTGTACTGATGGATATTTGACGTTTATGTGTCTACATTGAGCTCTCCATCCATTAGTATAATATCACTGATATAAACTTTACTGATATAAAAATTACTATTGGCATAGGACAATGTGATACGACAAGTAACATGTAAAATTAGATCGTTAATCTTCCTAAATAAATAAATAAATAAGGAATGAGTAATTCTTTACGGCCTCGGTGGTCTAACTGTTTAGGTCACCGCTTTACTTCCGATGGTCGCGGATTCGATTACTCGCGCTGTGCAAACATTTGTATCTATGAGTATGGTTGTTTGTATCGGTTTGGATGTTTTCTATGTATATAACGTATGTGTTTACAAATAATATATCTAAGTATTTATATCAGTCGTCTAGTACCCATAACACAAGCTTTGCTTATATATGTAAAATGTACCAATGTCAAATGTGTATGTTCATATCAATAGTGGTTGTCAATAAATGTTTTTCTTTCTTTCTTACAATGGGACTAGATGCGTGTGTTAATTATCCAGGGTTATTTATTATTACTAATTAGTATAGCTTAGGGTTCATTCCCGGGAATTCTCGGGTCGAGAATTCCCGGGAAATCGTTGGGTTTTGTTCCCGGGAAATCAAGCTCGAGAAAAGTCGAGAACTCGAGAAATCAAGTACCTATATAGAAATTAAATTGCCGTTTGTTTTGTTGCGTGGCGGCGCAATAATTCAAGATATTTAGGTTTTCTTTCATGTAATTTTTTTTTTGTTTTACAGAAACTATTTTTGTTTACAAGTTTAAGGTAGATTTTTTCTAAATAACCAGCCAAAAATGGTGCTGTCATTATAAAAATAACTCTGAATAATATTAGGTAATACATAAGAAAGTGGTGTTTTGACGGGGGAACGGGAACATTTGGACATATCAATAAAATCTTTGAAGGTATTTTGGCCTTTAAAGATTTTATTGATATGTCCAAATGTTCCCGTTCCCCCTTACAATTACAATTAAAACTTAAAATTTACATCCGATGTAAATTTTTTCCCAATCAGTTATCCAAATTTCGAAAAAAAATGGTAATCTGTTGGAGCAAGGTCCGGGGAGTACGGTGGTTGTCTTAGACATTACAATTGAATCTCTTCTAATTTGGTAAATGTCAGTTGTGCAGTGTGTAGTCTAGCGTTGTCCTGAAGCAGCAGTGGCCTACGGCGATTGACCACCCTCGGTTGTTTAGCAGCTAGCCATTATGGTTTCTCAATTGCTGACAACACACATCTGCCGTAATCATCTGGCCAGATTTAAGAAAGCTGAAGTGAACAACACCGGAACTAGTCCACTAAACGCTCGCAAGTAACTTTTTTTGAGTCAATTTTCGCTTGGGGCAGGATTTAGTTGGTTTGCCAGGGTTCAGCCATTGCAATGAGCGTTTCCAATTATCATACAAGATGCACCTCATCACAGATAATGATTCGATTTAAAATCCCTTTATTATTATGCCGGTTGACTAATGTAACGCAGCAGTCTACGCGCGTTTGTCGATCGAAACGCGAATTGTCCACTCAATTCATGAGGGACCCACCTTTCAAGCTATTTCACCCTCCCAATTTTCTACAAGTGGATTAATACAGTTTTGTCACTATCACCGCACCCTGCAACTAACTCGGACGTGGTTCGCGATGGATCTGCTATCACAATAGCCTTCAATTCTTCATTACCAACCTTGGACTCCGGCCGCCCACGGGGGTTGTTTTGCAGGTCGAAATTTCCAGAACGAAAACGTTGGAACCAAAAATGCATTGTGTTTTCTTTTGCGACACCACCGCCATACACATCATTAATCCTTCGAGCTGTTTCTGTAGCACTAGTGCCATGGCGGAAATCGTACTCGTACTTGTAAAAGACGCGATATTTTCAGTTTTCCATTTTGCAAACTGAGTGACCCAAAGAAAAAACCAAGCATATGTTCTCGGTTCTCGAAAAACAAATACATGAGTGAATAGCCGTATAAATTTGAAATTGGAATTCCTAACCAAAGAGGAGAGATATTTAAGATCAAAGTGGCCAGTGCGACAAAACGCTAATTACATATTTAAGAACCTAATATATTCAGTATTTAAATAAAATTTTGCTTATTCATAATATGTATAATGTTTTTAAATATACTCAATAAACGTTTTATAATTAATTTTATAGTTAAATTTAATATTTAACAAATGATGCAGTGGTTTTCCTCTCAAATGAAACCACTGAGTTTTTTGACGTTATTGGAACCAAATAATATGAGAAAACGTACGTAAATGTAAATTTCTCGACAACCCGAGAAGACCCGAGAAATTAACCTCGAGAATTCTCGAGACCCGAGAAATTGAAAAGCTCGAGAAATCATGAACCCTAGTATAGCTGTTCTCAAAAAACGTAAAATTGAGACTTTGTAACTTCAGTTTTTATCACATTTTTGTTCATTATTATTATTACAGAAGAGGTATTTATTTAATTAATATCTTCTAGAATGATCTACTACTCTTGAATGTTGCCAGAAAAAACTATTTTTAATGCTTCCGAAAATAAAAGAAACCCGGCAATACAAAGAATCCATTTTTACTTTTAATTATAACTGACGTTATCTTAATCAACAATAATGTAAAATCAGTACTATTGTCCTCATATAACTTTGTTTTTATTAATAGAAGTAATCAGGTAACTGCATAAATAGAAAAGCAAATGTTGTATTCTGGTCAAAATTTGCTAAAGAGAATTTATCAGGCGTTTACATTTTTTAAGTTGTATGATTGTATTCTTGTATGAGTACTATAGTGGAAATACAAATGGAAATAATCTTTATTTAAATAAACTTTAGAGATAATTATATTGTATTATTTGTATCCGACAGTCTTGACCCGCTTCATAAGTCCTTCAAAGGGTTTGGTGTGCCATATACACTCGCCCCTTTTTATATCGGTGAAGTTGTAAAAGACTTATAATTAGTATAGTTAGAAAAAGTTATGTATTATGTTTTTTTTATACTACAATGGCGGTTAACAAGTATACCGTCCATCTGATGGTAAACGGTTAGGTACCGTAGCCTATAGACGTCTGAGACAACAGATCTGTCACGTGCGCGTTGCTGACCAAATTATGCGTTAATTTCAGAAAGATTTTTCTGCTGCTCTTTTGTAAGTTCTTTCATTCATTCATCATTCATTTACTCATCTTGTCGTGGAGCTCTTGCCACTTTCTACTATCTTCCATCATACTCTTTAAGCCTTGATGACACGACTCCAATTCTTTCATAAGTACTTACAATATATTTTTGACGAAATGTTCATGCAGAAAGAATCCTAGGAATAACGCAAATAAATCAATTCCGACAAATTGTTTAATATCTATTATTATGATGTATGAAGTCTTTTGAACTGAAATAGTATTGCGAAAATACACTTTTTTTTGTAAATAAATCAATTCGGACGGACGTTTACATGATTGTCGTTTGTTGTTTTAAATCAGTGAATAGTCATTAATGTGGATTGTGGATTTATTGTGTATTTTTGTCGTGATTTTAATGATATTGTGCAGTTCATCAACCTCTAATGACCTACGTTTCTAAGAGATTAATATTCTGTGTGCAAAGAGCGCAGTTTTTATGAATCCTTTTAGGATTCAAGTGAAAAGCAGTTGTGGTTAAATAATATATTATATAATTCTACGAGCACACATTACAAAGCACTTGTTGTAGGTAGGTAATGGCTGCCGGCGGATACCGTTGTGTCGCCATATATAAAAAGTTGCCATATGAACAGTATTTGTTTTGTATGGATTTTAACCCGCAGATTGGGTTGTTATGCAATGCAATTGGTAGTAAGTTCCTTATCTTGTTAATGTATGATAAGGTGAGTATGAGATCGGACCTATTAGCAGTTTCCAAGGTAGGCCACGTGAAAGTCAACATGGTACATGCTGGTCACGATGATGGTCTAGATGACTACAAAGTAATTACTTCTACCCGCGGCTTCGCTCGCATTGAA